TGAATGTGTAGCAGTTGATTTGAATGTAATTCCTGTCATTGCGTGAGTAGCCACCTCTAGCAACTCACGGCGTATATAAACCCATGCGTGAAGGAGGATCAGCCCTTCCTTGACGCTTCCAAACTTATCTCGGGTATGTGTGTTCCCCGCCGATATAGTCATTCAGTTTAACTTCGTCAATTTTGTGAATATCAGTGTTTATGTTGTAACAGTGAAATAGTCATTTACCCAGTGTAAGAATTACTATAACGTAAATGTCGTCTGTCGTTGCTAGACGAAAGATTGTTTGTGATTGAGTCATCATCAGCCTTCCTTTGACGACTTCCAATTTATCTCAGATCAAGTGTGTGGGTTATTTGAACACCCCCATCGGCTGCCCGGGGTCGGTGGCTATCTAACAGTTAGCTGTATTGGACGATGTCGCTGATTCGGCAGGATTAAACTGCTCCAGTCTTGGGAAATTTCCCCAGACTCTCGCCACGTGTCAGACTCCAACCGACCATAACAGCGATCTTCATTTGTTGAGACGCCAGTGTTATGCTCTGGGACACTGCGTACAGTTATTTGGTCCACAGTATTTGTTATATATGATTGGAGATAATTAACCAGAATATAATTATCCCATGTTGGGTAGTGAACCCATATAAATTGTTAGTATCAGTAATAACTTGTTATGTGCTGTGAGTGCATCCTCCATATGTACTACCAACAGTTCTAGTGAAGGTACCATATGTAAGTTTGTCTTGTAGCTGTATGTAATGTAATGTACCACCAGAAGTAAGAGTATCCACTTGGGATTGCAGATGAGTAAAGCCAAGGAGTTGAACCTTGTAGTTGTATGCTAATGCCATCTTTTACCAAATTTAATTTCGTATTAATAAACCATTTCTTAGAGTATATTAGGGGTATCTTTTTCTCCCAGTATTCACCTATATTTTGTCCAATGGCTTCATACCAGAATTACAGTACCCATGTGCCTACCCTCGCTATGCTACCAAAGGTCTGAGGTTATGAAGTAACCATGAAATGAAATATTTAGACAGAACAAATGAAGGAACTAAGACAAAGAAAGAAGTATGAAATAAGAATATAATGGAGAAGAAGAAAATCCCCGCCCCTAATGATGGCAGCGTGTTCCCTGCCCTTATACTGCCAGTCGGTTAAAGCAGCACATTTATCATTGATGAGTACATTGATTTTTGGGTCGTTTTCATCATACCAGTCATGGTGTATTCTTTCGATCTGGCCAACGGTGTGTCTGCATGTTTTTGTCTTGACAGTCGAGATTATCCCATTCAGTATTGGGATTTGGGTTGTTTATCAGCCCATGTTTGAGCTGCTCTCTGAAGATATGTGCTGCCGCTGGATCCTCCAAACGCTTAGTGTTAAAACCTCTTTTGGAGGCTTGCTGTCTCCACCGTTTTGGGGCGACGCGAAGTGAGCACTTGGTTCTGACGAGCCAATGAGCAATGTCGCAGTGGACTGAGCCACGCATGGGTCGGGTGATGAGGACATCGCGGCGATCTCTTTCTCTGACAATGATGTAGTCAATGAGATGCCAGTGTTTGGATCTTGTGTGTTGCCACTAACCCTTGAACTTGTCGGACTGCCTAAACAAGGTATTGGTGATAGTGAGGCTGTGTGCAGCACACTAGCTGAGGAGGAGTAGGCCATTTGGATTACACTTGCCTAGTCCATTTCTCCCTTTAATTCCCAGCCAGATGTCAGCATCTCTGCCATTGAAATCACATTGTAGCACAACCTTATCTTCTCTCGGGATAGAGGTTAACAATGTCAAGGTCGGCATAAAAGGCTTCCTTGATGTCATCCTTCTGCAGCCAGTGTTGGGGCAAATGCACTGATGAAAAAGGCATGACGTGAGTTGTTTTATATTTGGTTTATATTTGTGAATTTTTTAGAGCAACCCAAAAACACGTCACTGATCAAGGAGAAGGCGGTAAAGTAATGATATTTTGGCCACTTGTTCCATTAATGATCAGGCAGTGGCATAACACAGCGTCTTTACCAGGAATGCAATATTAGCTACGACATTATGGAGGTTCTGTATTCTACAATACGGTGAACGAATATTTAGTTCCCATAAAATAGATTCACTCCGGCTTGTCAGTCTGATATCACTTTGTCAGTAAAAATGATCGAGTTTCATATTCTACATGGTCATGTGTCTCATCAGGGCCAACAACAACAACCCAAGGCAGTGTAGCAACATGAAGAATTATTCCATCACACACACACCCATCAGCCTTGTCATGATCAGTTTGATAAATTAATCAGATGTGTAGACCATAATAGTAATAAACCATGTACACGGATTTGAACGAAAAAATTATGCCGTATTGGGTTTAGGGATATTTAGTAAGACTCGCATACTGACCCCGCTATTTGATATGAATCCCCTTTGGCCCAATGGATAAGGCATTGGCCTCCTAAGCCAGGGATTGTGGGTTCGAGTCTCACCAGAGGTTACGACTATAATTTTTAGATAGTAGGTAGTAGGCAGCTATCAAACAGGGAGGTTCTACCTCCTGGGAAGATATTGGAAGCATAATGTGTTGTCTAATGGTAGACCCTGCTGCCATAGGTCATCACGAAAATTGTGACCAAGTCCCAGGTTGCTGATCTGACTTTCTGCCTCATTTACACACAATTGCAGGGTCTCAATTGTTTCTCTTACTATTGACAACACAACATACATACTGTTGTTTCTCACTTTTGATTTATTTTTTAATTTTTGTATTTATTGATTTATTTATTATTATTATATTTATTATTATTATTATTATTATTATTATTATTATTATTATTATTATTATTATTATTATTATTATTATTATTATTATTATTATTATTATTATTATTATTATTATTATTATTATTATTATTGTTAGTTATTGTTATTGTTATTATTGTTATTGTTATTATTGTTATTGTTATTGTTATTGTTATTGTTATTGTTATTGTTATTATATTTCGCCCTCCAGACCCTGATGTGGGTCAGTGACCTGTGCCCGGGTGGGCTAATCCCTGTAAAAAAAAAAACCGCTTCAGTCGGGGCTCCGTCACTAGCGGCAACTCTATGCCAGTCCAGTACCGCAACCTCTTCCTCCAGGCCTTCCGCAGGTTGCCGCAGTGAGTCATCTGGAAATATGAGGGAGAGCTGGAGGACGTCCCAGACAGCGTGATGATCAACAAGTGGCTCCCCCAGCAGGACATTCTCGGTCAGTTTAAACTGTTTATCAACGAGGAGTGTCGTCTTGGCTCACAAATCATTAAGTGTAACGGAAGCAAGAAGAAAATGGATTAATAATGCTTTAATGTTGTCTCTAAATTAAGGAAACCAGTAAGTTAATGTGACATCATATTTTAGTTGTTGATGTAATGATCCTTGATGGTATATTAGTGAGAATGTCCTTATTAATATGTCGTTCAGGTAAAAGTATGAGTCATGGTTTTAGGTGAATCGGTGGTAGTACAGGTAGGAGTGGATATATTATATAAAGAAAATCATATGTCTTATTTCTTATTTCTTACCGTAGAGTTCGATACCTTCACACTGGTTACTTACAGGCGATTATGGCGTATCTACGTAGAAGTTCACTCCACCACTCGACTTTCCATGATTTATACTTGATAAATGATGATTTAATGAATTCCATTAATTTCCAACATCTATCTCAGTTATTGGTTATCCTTTGTCATAACCAATCAGTCATTACCTTTAGTAATGATAAGATAGGATCACAGATACGGGCAGATAATTGCACTTACATTTATTTGTCAAGCTTCCATACAATGATTTACAATTTGCATGGATATATGAGTCACTCACGTTCATGCTGTAATAAAATTAATCTTCTAAAAGAGAATTTCAACTTGGGGACACATGTGATTACTCTACTGTGGGTATGACCTAACAGAGCCTTAATTCTTCAAGTGATACATTTACTGCCAGCCTGGATTGCTTTTGTTGCAACCAGGCTTCCGCACAAGAACTTCTTTCCATGGCCATAACAACAAAAAGTACTCTTGGGTTACCACACCTAGTCTAGCGTCACTGACAGTCACTGTAGACGGTTGTCACGGCAAGGAGAACTGGTAAGCGTGACTTAAATTAACCATCTATTTGCAATAGACCAGCCTGGATTGCTTTTGTCGCAACCAGGCTTCCACACGTGATATTTCCACAGGGATAACAAATCTAGGTTAACACTTAGTCTCGTGTCGATCACAGTCACTGTAGACGGGTGTCGTGCAGGAGAACTCTGTAAGCGTGAATTAATTAACCATTTACTGTAGGTTTGATAGGCCAGCCTGGATTGCTCTTGTTGCAACCAGGCATCCACACGTGATATTTCCACGGGGATAACAACCTAGGTTAACACGCTTAGTCTCGTGTGGAGGATGGAGTGGCGGTGGAGGACTCGGGGTGGTGTGGTGTCCCGCCCCCTTTCAGGAAGGAGAGGATGGAGACGACGTCTTAACTATGCCATAGTCTAGGGGATACTACTTAAAATGAGGTTTTTGGGTGTGAAGCGATGAACAGTACAACACTTTCACTGCCCACCCCCCAAAGGCTGGCTAACATACCTAATTGAAAATACATGTCCCAGTTATGCCTCGCCGGGTGTCTTATCTCTGGTAAAACAAACTTTGGAGTTGGTTGCGTGGGTAAGCCTAACGCAAACCATGACAATGAGGTGTGTGATAGCGTAGAGTCTCAAGGTCATTACGAAACACTCACTCATGCTGATATACTCATATGAAGGAGTTTCTAACTATGTTTTTACAGCCCAATAAAATCCCACACACCAAAATCTCTGAAACTATATTTATTTCACTCAGGTTTAGGAATAAAACATTTCCTAAGAGGCATAAAGGCGCAAGCTTTATAACCAATGTTTGTAAAGGTGTTGTCCGCTTCACCACAATACAAACTTACTGTGTGGCATCTGTTGACGTTGGTTTAGGGTGCACCACGTTGGCCTAGGACACCAGTAACTAGTGTTGGGAAGGGCTGTGTAGTGGTGTGCTGCATTAGAGAGAGAGTGAGTAGTTATTTTTTGATCAAGGAGAAGGTGGCAAGGGAAAGTGTTTGTGGTCATCTATTTGGAATCATCCACGGCCACAGCTAAGAGTTTTCAGGAGGAATACAACATTTTACTGACGATACTATATTGATTTGTGGTAATTAGAATGATCTATTAAGAATATGTACGTCAATTTGTCTGATAATGACTTCACTCCTGTTCAGTATATCCAAATCTTCAGTTGTTTGTACGGAAGCGAGCTGTCTTGTGACTTTACTGTATTATCTTGAGTTCTGTAATGGGACATGACATCCTGGTGTGCCCACTGTGTGTCACATCTCGTAGGTTAACACGTTCAGGGACCCGGTAACATGTCATCCAGTCACTATATGTAACTTGCCTACATAATCCGTGATCCTTCAGGTACTTAAATACAGAGTAACGAAGGAAAGCTTAAACTCCGTATGCTTCGCTGTTGGACACTGTAAACGTTTTTGCGCTTCGCCATGCACAAGATGCAAAGGGGTGCACAATAAACCAGCTTCCTCGCGGGGTAAATATTATAATGGTTAAATTCTCTACACCTAGCAGAGTGAACGTACATACATATATACACACATACACATACAAACATAAAACATACATACAGTACATACATAAAACATACATACACATACAAACATAAAACACACATACATACATACACATACAAACATGAAACATACATACATGCACATACAAACATAAAACATACATACATACATACACACATACATACATACATACATACATACATACATACATACATACATACACACATACATACACACATACATAAATACATACATCACCAGCCTTATCATAGCTACACGTAATCAGTGATAATCTCCCATACGGGGTCACGATAAGGTTGGTCAAAAGAGTAAAGTCTATATATACGACACAGGGCCGAGTACTGCCTTATCGTGTGTAGCGGGTGACATGTACTAGGTCCCACGTACTGATTAGAGTGATAACAATGTGCCTGGGTGCTGTGATTACCTGGGTGTTGGGATTACCTGGGTGTTGGGATTACCTGGGTGTTGGGATTACCTGGGTGCTGTGATTACCTGGGTGCTGTGATTACCTGGGTGCTGTGATTACCTGGGTGCTGTGATTACCTGGGTGTTGGGATTACCTGGGTGCTGGGATTACCTGGGTGCTGGGATTACCTGGGTGCTGGGATTACCTGGGTGTTGGGATTACCTGGGTGTTGGGATTACCTGGGTGCTGGGATTACCTGGGTGCTGTGATTACCTGGGTGCTGGGATTACCTGGGATTACCTGTGCTGGGATTACCTGGGTGCTGGGATTACCTGGGTGCTGGGATTACCTGGGTGCTGGTGCTGTGATTACCTGGGTGCTGGGATTACCTGGGTGCTGGGATTATTACCTGGGTGTGGGATTACCTGGGTGGTGGGATTACCTGGGTGGTGGGATTACCTGGGGGCTGTGATTACCTGGGTGCTGTGATTACCTGGGGGCTGTGATTACCTGGGTGCTGTGATTACCTGGGTGCTGTGATTACCTGGGTGCTGTGATTACCTGGGGGCTGTGATTACCTGTTGTTTGATAGTAAAATTATCTAATTTGCTACAGATCCGCTCTTGTGTGGGCCTTGGCTTGGTTATGGCTGGTCCCTGTGTGGCTTCATCTCTACGGTTGGAAAATACTTGTCAGTCTACAAGCGGGTAAACACGAAAGGAACCAACAACGATCCACACCTCTATATATTGTTCTTAATGAATTCCTATGAACGTGAAATACTAACAATAACATCCACCATTACTGTTTTTCGAAAGGAAGTCCAGCACGCAGGAAGTCTCCAAAAATATTTAGAATTTATTTTCGATGCCCAGTACATTCTCAGCACGGTAATTTCTGATGACTGACAGTAAAGTTTCCCCACAGACGCCAGCTACCTTTGGTTGTTGAACAGTTTGTTGTCTTTAAGGTTATAATAGTCTGAGTGTTGGTGTTGCAGATGAAGGTGGCGACGCTGTGTGTGTTGGTGGCGGCACTGACACAGGGCGCCCTAGGAGTGTTGTCTCCCCCTGAGAGGTCCTACAAGATCCTCATGCTCCTCCCCGTCTCCTCAAAGAGCCACAGGAATGTCTTCATGCCCATCGCTGAGGCTCTGGCTGACCGTGGACACAAGGTAAGGTCTTAGGTGGCTGACCGTGGACACAACGTAAGGTATTAGGTGAATCTAATTGCTCCTGGTTGCTTAAGAAGTTGCCCCCTTTGATGCTGAATGAAGCCATGTGATCGTTGACGAGTGTTAGTTAAATATGAATTCATTTATTTTATTCTATCCGAGACATTGACATTTGTTCCATCATGATCTGAATATATCTTGACTACTTTAGATGATATTTAGTGATTCTGGGTGACCTTAATCTCGTCTCTTTGAATCTGACTCAGCCTGGATCCATTTTCCTATCTTATACCGAGTGCCTCTGGTTAGTTGATGTGAAGGATTAGACCCCAGCTGATCCTGAGTGACTATCTGTGTCTTGAATTGATAACAGTGAACATATTATGTCACAAAATGCTTGGTCACCTTCCCACAACATGACTTAAACATCTTCCGCCCCTCACCTGTCCTCCAGGTAGTGATGTTGACCAATCACCCCAAGTCCTCCAAACACCCAAACATCTTCGAGGTGCCACACGGCCTCCCACAATTCAGGGAGGAAAATATGAACATGTTCGAGATGAGGAAGAGTCCAGGAGGCACCTTCAACATGTTCACGACCGCCCTGCCGGCCATAGCCAGGGATATGTACAAGGTGAAGGCGGTGAAGGACCTTTACGATAAGAGGAAGGACTTTGATCTCATAGTAGTGAATCACATGTTTAATGAGGTTAGTGAGTCTTGTTTCTGTGTTGTGTTCAGTAATGTGAACATCTGTTGAGTCGTTTGATTATTTTATTGATTAATCTCATCATTTTAACGTTTATACAGAGAATAGTGTGATATTATCATTGTAAGTTCTCTCTTTTCCCTAACTTATGAATTTCTAACAACGGAGGAAAGGCTATCTAAATATGCTGTTAGTGGCGTCTTGTTTGGCCATAGACTACCGTAGTTGTACTTTTAATCACCTGTGACCTTAAATAACCATCGTCTTACAGATGGTTTACCCATTCGTACACGAGGTTCCCTTCATCAGTGTTGCCACCCCAGGGATGGACCCACGTCAGAGTGCTGTCTTGGGCAACGTCCTCAACCCAGCTTGCGACTCGACCTACCTTATCGACTTCATCCCCTCATCCGCGTGGCATCGTTTCCTCAATACCATCAAACTTATAGGGCATTCGGTATACTGGCGTCACTGGGCCATTGTTCCTCTCATACAGAAAGAGGTGAGTTGTATATCATATGATTAATGACTCACTTTTAAACATTTCATGATCAGGAGAAAGGTCTTCTCCAGTGTGATCTTCACTACCAAACATGACAGGTCTCCAGGACCCCGTTTCCTCCTGGACTAATACTGGATAGACAAACTGTCCGAACAGCTAGTAAGTTGATAAGTGAGAAAAAAGACCTCTTATTCGAAGGAAATGCCGGATACTTTCTCTCATTATTGTGTAAGTTGGTTCAGCCTCTTTACATATAATCTTTGAGGAGCTGCTTCAAGTGTAGGCAGTAATGGCCTCCTGTCACTCCTCAGATCTCGGCACAGTTCCCAGAGCTGCCGCCGCTGCTGGACCTGGAGAGGAACATGAGTCTGGCGCTGCTCAACTCTCACTTCACCATCAGCAAGACGGTGCCTCTCCTGCCCTCACAGGTGGAGGTGGGCGCCATGCACTGTCGCCCCGCCAACCCTCTGCCTCAGGTCAGTTAGCAGCATCTACCCTTATCTTTCATCTTATCATCGTCTGTTATTTATCATTTAGTATCGTGCTCAGGGGTCGTGCTCTTCCTGCTTATCTTAAATACAGAAGAAAACCGGAATTTATCGGTTTACAAGATGGGAAGTAATTTGATCTATTATGCAAGCCAAGGTCAAGACAGGTGCTTCACTCAGTAAAACACCTCAGTTGTCCACAAGTTGGTTGACCACACATTACTGCCTTACAGGAACTGGAGTCGTGGATCACGGGGGCGGGGGCGGAGGGCGTCATATACTTCAGTCTGGGCTCCGTCGCTCGCGGCAACTCTATGCCAGTCCAGTACCGCAACCTCTTTCTCCAGGCTTTCCGCAGGTTGCCGCAGCGAGTCATCTGGAAATATGAGGGAGAGCTGGAGGACGTCCCAGACAACGTGATGATCAGCAAGTGGCTCCCCCAGCAGGACATTCTCGGTCAGTTTAAACTGTTTATCAACGAGGAGTGTCGTCTTGGCTCACAAATCATTAAGAGTGACTTCCACTATAATCTTGCTGAGTTTCTCATTAGAGGGTCAGCCTCTCACAGTCCTGAGATGTGCCGTAATGGTCACTCAGAGGACATGTGTCAGGTAGACCACACGGCCTAAAGTTATGTATGATCATAAACCAGTTAAGACAGGATAGGTATATCTCCTCCCTTGATGATTCTTATGAATTAGGTATTACGACCAGTCGGTAAGTACTTGGCCACACCTTATCCACTCTCAAGTTGTACACGAATCTGACACTTCCTTCTCAGTGGTGATCAGGCTGCAATGTCGCCACGTTAGTGCTCTAACCTTTACACCACTGTACGTGACAAAAATGAGGAAAATCATGGGTGCTGAAGCACATTGTGCTTGAGACAGTAACCAGCGTGTTGCTAACACAGAGTATGTACCACAGCCCACGACAACGTGAAGGTGTTCATCACACACGGCGGTCTTCTCAGCCTGCAGGAGTCCATCTACCACGCCACGCCCCTCCTCGCCCTCCCTATCTTCGGCGACCAGCCCAAGAACGGTCTGTTCGTGAGGGACTCTGGCCTGGGCCACTTTCTGGTGTGGGAGGAACTCACTGAGAACCTCATTATGAACGCTCTCACCGACATCATCAGTGACCCTAAGTAAGTATAGCAGCTTACAAGTAGCCAAAAGCTTCCTGCCTTACTCCTGCACACAGGACTTGACCTGCTGTTTACATTAACACAATCTTGCAGTTAAACTGTTTATATATCACACAGACAGCACAACAATAATAGTTACCATGAGTTACACTTTACTCTCGGTCAGGTATAAAGAAAACGTGATGAAGATGTCAGCTGGGCTGCGGGATCAGCTGATCTCGCCCAAGGAGTTGGCTGTGTTCTGGACGGAGTATGTCATCCGCCACCGAGGGGCGCCCCAGCTGAGGTCCCCGGCGGCACAGCTCTCCTGGGTGGAGTTCCTCATGCTGGACGTCCTGCTCCTCCTCCACCTGGCTCTCCTCGTCCTCTACTTCACCCTACGTCGCGTCCTGAGGGCCATCTCTGCTAAGATCTTCGGCAGTGGCGGAAGCAAGAAGAAAAAGGATTAATAATGCTTTACTGTTGTCTCTAAGTTAAGGAAATAAATGATTATTATTATTTTTGTCTTTTACTTGTTTACGTATTTTTTTTTTATATTGCACCCCTCTACACCCTTGTGTAAGGTGAAGCGCAGAAGCGTTTACAGCGCCCAACAGGGAAGCATGCTAAGTTCATGCTTGCCTTTGTCTCTTGAGTTAAGGGCTTAGAAGCCTGAAGGGTCAAGGGCGTAGAAGCCTGGAGAGTCAGTGGTTTATGTCATCAAGTTATTGGAAACTCCAACAACTTTCCCTGAATATGAATTCGCAACTTTCGACTTACACCAGGTACCTACTGTACTGCTAGGTGAACAGGGACGAAGGGGACTAGGAAGTATGTCCAAACAACTTCCACCGGCCCGGGAATCGAATCCGTGACTTCTTGCTTGTGAAGGCAAGAGCGGTACCACTCTACCACCAGCGCCCCCTGTTGACGTTAGGATCCTTGATAGTGATAGCATTGTCTGAAGGTCATCACCAGCCAAGGGCGTTATGAAACGCTTTCTCATGCTGATATGCTCATATGACGGAGTTTCCACCAACGTTTTTACAGCGTAATAAATTCCCTCACACACCAGAAGCTATCATGTTATGTTCGTAAGTGAAGGTTAGGTATAAAACATTTAACAAGAGGGATACTAAAAGTAATTTTATAACCAGTGTTGAACGGCTCAGTTACCGAAGCGTTAAAATGAACGCTGGAAAACGCTAATAATTACTGGGTGGCATCTGTTAACGCTGGCGTACAGGCATAACACTAAGACGGCTCAACCCGACGGTGAGAGACGGTCTTGTGTTCTCGTTATTAGTGCGTCTCTTCACTGCTCATACAGTGTGTCGTGTGGTGCTTCAATACATCACAGTAAGTGGAGGTCACCCTGAGGTTGTATCACAGTTGTTTTCATCACGCAGGAGGTGGGAGGGAATGCCTAAGAGGCCACGTGTTACATTATATATAAAGACTATAGCTGTTGTAGCGCAGTAATGCATCATAACAACATCAATGTTTTTATAATGAACATATTGCTATTGTCGTCGTGAATTACTTTGTGTTAGGCAGCAAATGTTAAAGTATTAAAGAAATTAATGATACGTAAGAAAGATAAACTGCAAGAATATCTGCGTCTTTATGTAATGGCTGCAGATGTTCGTAGGGAAACGAGCAGGCTGGTGACTTTACAGCATATTGTGGAACAGGACATCTTGGTGTGCCCAGTGTTTGTCACAACATCTCTCGTAGGTCAACGCGTTCAGGGACCCGGCTATCAGCGCGGGTAAGTTGTCCTTCACGTGTACAGCAGTTAATGTATTATGGTGGTAAGGAAGCGGTGACTCCAGGTATTGGTTGGTAAGAAAATTATTGTATGAGTCTTGGAGGAGACAGGCCCAGGGGTGAGTTGGGGGCCCGTCTGCTCCTTGCCAACAGTTGCCACAAGTCACCTGGGCGCCTCAGGGGAGATAACAGGTAGACTTTACTGCATCAACAACCTGACACTCGCCCTGCTCCAGGTACAGTACCTCACTTTCATATGTTAAGATAGTTACTTCAGCCATCGGCAGGTGTATGGATACATGAGGCCGCACACTCCTGTACAGCCAAACTCGTACACCTGCCCGTGCCTGTGCGCCGAGGCCCTTGCACCCGTTTTACCACACATGAGGCGGTGTATGTTACATGTCCTGTATCCGAGTTAAGTTTGTTGAAGTGGTAGCCACAACCGACTTAACCTGTAGATGCATTTTTTTTTTGTTTAACCGAGTGTCTGTAGGTGATTACTTATGCAGGAATGATTGTGACCACAAGCGACCGAGAATGTTGGTGTAACACGATGCCTCCACCACTTGAGACTCTAATTATGTCAACTAAACATTGAACGATTTCTCTGACATACAGTACAGTACAATACAATGTTGTGGTGACAAAGGTATTACGGCATAGGTGTAGGACCCCCTGTAGACTACTTAGGTGTTACAATTATGTACTGTACAGTAAAAGGATCTCAGACGCCGGAGTGTGTGGGGAGCGTCGCAGGCTGGTGACTGTACAGTACAGTACAGTATATTGTGGAACAGCACATCTTGATGTGCCCAGTGTTTGTCACAACATCTCTCGTAGGTCAAGTACTCCCCAAGGTTCTCTTAAGTGACGCACGGGGAGTGGGGGGGGGGGGCACCAGCTGCCTCACCTAGAGAGATAATTCTAACCCGTTTTAAGTTGTGTCGTCCGTAATGGCGTTCACAGGTAACATGGTGGACTGGTGGCACACGTGGATAACTTTTTTCCGGAAAGTTAAACTAAATTTCTGTCGAAAATATTTCCTAAACTTTTCTACCCGGTACAGAAAAGTAAAAGTGGGTCCCATACACATGGCAGCCCAGGAACAATGTTGTTACCTAACATTGTCAGTCATATTGGGAACTTTTCCACCTGTCGTTACCATGACGTCAATACCATCATCACAATGGTAGAATATAATGGTAAGGGAGGTACTGGTGGATAACGTCGGTGAAAACAACAGTCGTGCTGGTGACAAGGTTTATAACGTTAACACCAAAACTCTCCCAAGTCCCTTAATATAAGACTTTAAGGATATTTTATCGAAGTCCTTTGTTCCTGTTATTGATAAAGTTTCCCCACAGACACCAGCTACCTTTGGTTGTTGAACAGTTTGTTGTCTTTAAGGTTATAATAGTCTGAGTGTTGGTGTTGCAGATGAAGGTGGCGACGCTGTGTGTGTTGGTGGCGGCACTGACACAGGGCGCCCTAGGAGTGTTGTCTCCCCCTGAGAGGTCCTACAAGATCCTCATGCTCCTCCCCGTCTCCTCCAAGAGCCACAGGAATGTCTTCATGCCCATCGCTGAGGCTCTGGCTGACCGTGGACACAAGGTAAGGTCTTAGGTGGCTGACCGTGGACACAAGGTAAGGTCTTAGGTGGCTGACCGTGGACACAAGGTAAGGTCTTAGGTGGCTGACCGTGGACACAAGGTAGGGTCTTAGGTGGCTGACCGTGGACACAAGGTAAGGTCTTTGGTGGCTGACCGTGGACACAAGGTAAGGTCTTTGGTGGCTGACCGTGGACACAAGGTAGGGTCTTAGGTGGCTGACCGTGGACACAAGGTAGGGTCTTTGGTGGCTGACCGTGGACACAAGGTAGGTCTTGGTGGCTGACCGTGGACACCAAAAGTAGGGTCTTTGGTGGCTGACCGTGGACACCAGGTAAGGTCTTTGGTGGCTGACCGTGGACACAAGTTAAGGTCTTAGGTGGCTGACCGTGGACACAAGGTAGGATCTTTGGTGGCTGACCGTGGACACAAGTTAAGGTCTTAGGTGGCTGACCGTGGACACAAGGTAGGGTCTTAGGTGGCTGACCGTGGACACAAGGTAGGGTCTTTGGTGGCTGACCGTGGACACAAGGTAGGGTCTTAGGTGGCTGACCGTGGACACAAGGTAAGGTCTTAGGTGGCTGACCGTGGACACAAGGTAGGGTCTTTGGTGGCTGACCGTGGACACAAGGTAAGGTCTTAGGTGGCTGACCGTGGACACAAGGTAAGGTCTTAGGTGGCTGACCGTGGACACAAGGTAGGGTCTTAGGTTACGCTATAAGCTGCCCCATTTGACCCTGAACTAAGCCATGTGATCGTTAATGAGTGTTAGTAAATATGACATATTTTATTTTCGCTGAGAATTGGATATTTATTCCCGTCAAGTTTCTAAATATATAAGTGACAAGATAGTATTAAGTGACTCTGGGTGACTCTAGTAGTTCTCACCGATTCTGACTCAGCCTGGATTCTTTTCTTCTTTTATCCATTGTTCTCCAAGGTCTTGGGGGGGGAAGAGTCAGTCTGGTATGGGAAGTTGATGTAAAGGAGTAGACCTTAGCTGACCCTGGGTGACTGACTCACGCTGATAATAGTGAACATATGTAAGGCAGAGTAACTCATAGTAACCCATAGTAAACTAGAATAACCCATAGTAACTTTGAGTAACCCATAGTAATTCTGAGTAACCCACAGTCACTCAGAGTAACCCACAGTATCTCAGAGTAACCCATAGTAACTCAGGGTAACTCAGAGTAACCCATAGTAACTCAGAGTAACCCTGGACGCCACTCAATCCTCGGCTAGATCATCACACAGCGGCACACCTTCGATTTTCTTTCATATTTCTGTCTAATAATTGGTGACGGTTCATTTGATCACCTTTCCTCAACATCACAAACATCTCCTCCAGGTAGTGATGTTGACCAACCACCCAAAGTCCTCCAAACACCCAAACATCTTCGAGGTGACCCACGGCCTCCCACACTTCAGGGAGGATAATGTGAACATGTTCGATTCGAGGAAGGATCCTACAGGGGGCTTGAACATCTTCGTGACCGCCCTGCCGGCCATAGCCAGGGATATGTACAAGGTGAAGGCGGTGAAGGACCTTTACGATAAGAGGAAGGACTTTGATCTCATAGTAGTGAATCACATGTTTAATGAGGTTAGTGAGTCTTGTTTCTGTGTTGTGTTCAGTGAGGTATAAATCCCTTATGGACTTTACTCTTTTGTTTAACGAGTCGTTATATTAGTATTGTTTAGACTATTTTAAGTACCGTAGCAGTTGTTTATTAGGTTAGTGTGACGTTAAACAAAAGGCTTCGTGGCTCTCAAGTTCCTGTTACTTAAACTGTCATGTTTTTATCATAGGTGACATCATTATGTATAATCAAAGACAAAAGTCGTGTCGTGGTTTTGTCCGAAGATTAAATATAACCCGTGAAACATTATGAGAGCCTCGCCCCTACCACAAGGCAGAGCGGACCAAAGTTTAGCCCTTTGACATATGTTGTCACCAAATTTTACGACACGACTTTTGTCTTTCATTGTACACCAGAACTTCAACATTCTTAATGATACACATAGTCGATTCTCAACCATGTTAATATTGTTATTATTATCCATTCTGTATCTGTGTTTTTCTGGCTAAATAAACTGTTACAACTGTTACAATTCAACTACAAAGTCCACCTAAAATATTGGCAATATTTAGTCACTTAGAATCACTGTACTTCCATATACTATAATCCTTTTACAGCTCTTACTAATTCCATTTTCATTTGCTGTTTGTCGTGTGATGTTTGGCAGTAGACTACCGTACTTATACCACTAGTCACCTGTGTCTTTAAACTACTTCCCTCCTGCAGGTGGCTTATCCATTCGTACACGAAGTTCCCTTCATCACCGTTGCCACCTCAGGGATGGACCCACGTCAGAGTGCTGTCTTGGGCAACGTCCTCAACCCAGCTTACGTCTCCAACCTTTTGACTGAATTACCCTCCCCCATGTCTGTCTGGCACCGTCTTCAGAACTTACTGATGCATGTATCATTTTCGGTTTACTGGCGTAACTGGGCCATTGTTCCTCTGATACAGAAAGAGGTGAGTTGGAGATGTCTTAATAAAAACGTAAAGTGAAGATGTTATTAATTCTCTCTCAAATAGTTTTTGATGGTAGGCGACTGTACTGTAGAGGGTGAGGGTATAGTTAAGCGAGTGCTACCTGAACACAACGAAGATTGTATCAGTAGGCTTTAAGGCCACAAAATGTTTCCTCTTTGTTATAACAAGACTCTTGTGCCCAAAAATTTCAGTTCAGAGGAACACCGTTCATAATAACTCTTCTTTATAGAGTAAGATGGTTCCTGCGACTTTATCTTAGGGGTCTGCCTCCAGTCTTTGAGGAGCTGCTTCAAGTGTAGGCAGTAATGGCCTCCTGTCACTCCTCAGATCTCGGCACAGTTCCCAGAGCTGCCGCCGCTGCTGGACCTGGAGAGGAACATGAGTCTGGCGCTGCTCAACTCTCACTTCACCATCAGCAAGTCGGTGCCTCTCCTGCCCTCACAGGTGGAGGTGGGCGCCATGCACTGTCGCCCCGCCAACCCTCTGCCTCAGGTCAGTTAGCAGCCTCTACCCTTATCTTTCGTCTTATCATCGTCTGTTATTTATCATTCAGTATCGTGCTCAGGGGTCGTGCTCTTCCTGCTTATCTTAAATACAGAAGAAAACCGGAATTTATCGGCTTAGAAGATGGGAAGTAATTTGATTTATTATGCAAGCCAAGGTCAAGCCGGGTGCTTCACTCAGTAAAACACCTCAGTTGTCCACAAGTTGTTGACCACACATTACTGCCTTGCAGGAACTGGAGTCGTGGATCACGGGGGCGGGGGCGGAGGGCGTCATATACTTCAGTCTGGGCTCCGTCGCTCGCGGCAACTCTATGCCAGTCCAGTACCGCAACCTCTTCCTCCAGGCCTTCCGCAGGTTGCCGCAGCGCGTCATCTGGAAATATGAGGGAGAGCTGGAGGACGTCCCAGACAACGTGATGATCAACAAGTGGCTCCCCCAGCAGGACATTCTCGGTCAGTTTAAACTGTTTACCAACGAGGAGTGTCGTCTTGGCTCACAGATCATTAAGAGTGACTTCCACTATAATCTTGCTGAGTTTCTCATTAGAGGGTCAGCCTCTCACTCTTCTGAGATGTGCCGTAATGGTCACTCAGAGGACATGTCAGGTAGACCACACGGCCTAAAGTTATGTATGATCATAAACCAGTTAAGACAGGATAGGTATATCTCCTCCCTTGATGATTCTTATGAATTAGGTATTACGACCAGTCGGTAAGTACTTGGCCACACCTTATCCACTCTCAAGTTGTACACGAGTCTGACACTTCCTTCTCAGTGGTGATCAGGCTGCAATGTTGCCACCTTAGTGCTCTAACCTTTACACCACTGTACGTGACAAAAATGAGGAAAATCATGGGTGCTGAAGCACAGTGTGCTTGAGACAGTAACCAGCGTGTTGCTAACACAGAGTATGTACCACAGCCCACGACAACGTGAAGGTGTTCATCACACACGGCGGTCTTCTCAGCCTGCAGGAGTCCATCTACCACGTCACGCCCCTCCTCGCCCTCCCTATCTTCGGCGACCAGCCCAAGAACGGTAGATTCGTGAGGGACTCTGGCCTGGGCCACTTTCTGGTGTGGGAGGAACTCACTGAGGACCTCATTGTGAACGCTCTCACCGACATCATCAGTGACCCTAAGTAAGTATAGCAGCTTACAAGTAGCCAAAAGCTTCCTGCCTTACTCCTGCACACAGGACTTGACCTGCTGTTTACATTAACACAATCTTGCAGTTAAACTGTTTATATATCACACAGACAGCACAACAATAATAGTTACCATGAGTGACACTTTACTCTCGGTCAGGTATAAAGAAAACGTGATGAAGATGTCAGCTGGGCTGCGGGATCAGCTGATCTCGCCCAAGGAGTTGGCTGTGTTCTGGACGGAGTATGTCATCCGCCAACGAGGGGCGCCCCAGCTGAGGTCCCCGGCGGCACAGCTCTCCTGGGTGGAGTTCCTCATGCTGGACGTCCTGCTCCTCCTCCACCTGGCTCTCCTCGTCCTCTACTTCACCCTACGTCGCGTCCTGAGGGCCATCTCTGCTAAGATCTTCGGCAGTGAGGGAAGCAAGCAGAAGAAGGAGTGATATTGGTTTTATCACATTTTGTCGGCTGTCTGTTATGCTTCCAAGTGATGGAAGGAAGAATGTTCAGGTTTTTCTAAGTCATTTTCAGCAAAATTTACGTTACTGTACATACTTTTAGATAATGAAAGCCAATAAGAAAGATATTTTTTGGACTGCAAGTGTCGTAGGATCTTTATAACTTATTGTTACTAAAGCTAAATATTACTATGATGACTGAGGCGAAGCTCTTTTATCCGTTACACCACACGAGGAGTTATTTGCTCTGGAGATAAAGATGTAAAGAACTGGTAAATGAACAGTAAGAAAGAGAACAAAATCTGAAATGTTGTTAACAATTCTGAAACTTTTTGTGAAGATGATCAAAATTAACATTGTTGAGTGTTCAGTCTTGCATTGCTATTTTCCTGTGTGGGTGTCAGTCTTTCCTTGTTCTAGTCTAATGTATAAACTAAATATATAATTAATTCAACAAGTTACTCTCAGACACAGTAACACAAGATGAAATAGTAAATTCTTCTTCTCTGGGTTCAAGATCCCAATTTTCTCTGTTTTAGGGAATTGTGAAGACCAGCCATGTGGGTTGTAATATATCTTTAGTCATTATAAGAGAATACACAGATTATAATATATGGTGTGTACAGTTCACGATCCAGTGACAAGGGTGGGTGGCCGTGTTGAGTCTTGAGTGATGGGAACAACACCTTAGCGACCAGTGACGACCCGAGAACATATTGTCACAGGTCAATCAGATCAGCATCTCCAACCCCAGGTAGTGCCAAGAGGTCAGGTCAAATGCGAATTCCACCATGTGACCTTTGATCTGACCTTATATAAACTGAGATCCACAATGGCATCACAAGTTATCCCAACTGGTCTGTTACCACAAGGACCTGACCTGAACCTGGGTAGCTACTAAAGACACCAACCGGCTGCTGCTCTGTGGTTTGTGTCTGTACATTACTTTGTTTATGTATTGCGGATAAAATAAATTTAGGCGGATAAATTGTTACTCTAATCGGATTACCTGAAGAATTGTCACCCCAGAGTCCGGCAGGGTGACAATTGTTCAGGTGGCAACACCTTGGGTGACAATTCTTCAGGTGGGGTCAGGACCCTCCACGGTTGTTAATCTTCAGGTTAGTGGAGTCAGGACCCTCCAGTCAGGTAGGAGGACTATACAATAGAAAAAGGGCTCAAAATTTTTTTAGTCATAATCATCAGTCGACCATGACACGCAATACCTTCCTATAATACTCAAAGTGGTTCAACAAGGATCAGTCATTCACAGTGATGAGTGGAGAGCATACCGCAATATTCAAGGTCTTGGATACACGCACAAAACTGTGAACCACTCAGTCAATTTTGTGAATGTGAATTCTGGTGTGCACACAAACGATTGAATCATATTGGAACACGAACAAGAGTTACATCAAGACCATGCGTGGCTGCAAACGAAGCTTTTTAAATTCTTACCTTCAAGAATTCATGTGGCATGGTCGTTTTTCTGTTAATCCTCTGGAAAATTTATGTCAACAAATTGCTGTTCAGTACCCTTTGTAATATGCATCGCAATAAAGATGCATAAAACACAGGAATGTATTTATGTTATCCTAATTATGCAAATTATATTCACTGTGGGCTGGGGCGACGATTCTTCAGGTGATCCCTCTAATCTTTTCAGCCTATAGGTTGAGTCAAAACTTACCCCGAGATTAATGTCTCCAGTAAAACTTGTTCATATACTTTAAGGCTCTCTTCCTAGTACAGTGAGGCGAGTAACAAATTCTACTCCCTGATGATCATCACCCTCCCTGACTCCCTTCACCTCCCCATGACGCCCTCCATCCTCTCCGACGCCCTTCACCGCAGATAGCAGACTGAACTTCGGTACCAAATATATATTCTACATTTCGGTAAATAATACAAGAGAATGATGAATCCAAGGTGATCCTAATCCTTTTTCTTCTTGCTTCCGCCACTGCCGAAGATCTTAGCAGAGATGGCCCTCAGGACGCGACGTAGGGTGAAGTAGAGGACGAGGAGAGCCAGGTGGAGGAGGAGCAGGACGTCCAGCATGAGGAACTCCACCCAGGAGAGCTGTGCCGCCGGGGACCTCAGCTGGGGCGCCCCTCGGTGGCGGATGACATACTCCGTCCAGAACACAGCCAACTCCTTGGGCGAGATCAGCTGATCCCGCAGCCCAGCTGACATCTTCATCACGTTTTCTTTATACCTGACCGAGAGTAAAGTGTCACTCATGGTAACTATTATTGTTGTGCTGTCTGTGTGATATATAAACAGTTTAACTGCAAGATTGTGTTAATGTAAACAGCAGGTCAAGTCCTGTGTGCAGGAGTAAGGCAGGAAGCTTTTGGCTACTTGTAAGCTGCTATACTTACTTAGGGTCACTGATGATGTCGGTGAGAGCGTTCACAATGAGGTCCTCCGTGAGTTCCTCCCACACTAGAAAGTGGCCCAGGCCAGAGTCCCTCACGAATCTACCGTTCTTGGGCTGGTCGCCGAAGATAGGGAGGGCGAGGAGGGGCGTGACGTGGTAGATGGACTCCTGCAGGCTGAGAAGACCGCCGTGTGTGATGAACACCTTCACGTTGTCGTGGGCTGTGGTACACATGTTGTATTACTGACAAAATAATTATAAATTATAGTACAAGAGTTGCTTATCGCCTAGAAGTAATAAGGGAAAATGGGTAACTGTTATACGGTGATTTATTATGTGGCTCAATACACAGTTCACCACAGGTATATTCTTGTCAACACATTACGAGGCAATGTGAAGCTTTAGACAGTTTTTATTCCCTTGCAATAGTTTAGTGAATTTTTAGTCTTTAAGAGAGGTATCGAGTGTCCTGACTTCTTCACTGCTGCAGAGGAACACAATCTAAGCCTTTGTGGACATGTGTGTGACGACTAGTGCTACCTGTGATGAGTGTGACGACTTGTGCTACCTGTGATGAGTGTGACGACTTGTGCTACCTGTGATGAGTGTGACGACATAGTGCTACCTGTGATGAGTGGGATGATATAGTGCTACCTGTGATGAGTGGGATGATATAGTGTTACCTGTGATGAGTGTGATGACATAGTGCTATCTGTGATGAGTGGGATGATATAGTGTTACCTGTGATGAGTGTGACGACATAGTGTTACCTGTGATGAGTGTGATGACATAGTGTTACCTGTGATGAGTGTGATGACATAGTGTTACCTGTGATGAGTGTGACGACATAGTGTTACCTGTGATGAGTGTGACGACATAGTGTTACCTGTGATGAGTGTGACGACATAGTGTTACCTGTGATGAGTGTGACGACATAGTGTTACCTGTGATGAGTGTGACGACATAGTGTTACCTGTACTGAAGACTGTAATCAAGGCTCCCAGGTGATGTTTTGTGTTCTGCCTTTGACTCATCTTTCACCAAAGACAAATGTAAGAAAAAACTGACCGAGAATGTCCTGCTGGGGGAGCCACTTGCTGATCATCACGTTGTCTGGGACGTCCTCCAGCTCTCCCTCATATTTCCAGATGACTCGCTGCGGCAACCTGCGGAAGGCCTGGAGGAAGAGGTTGCGGTACTGGACTGGCATAGAGTTGCCGCGAGCGACGGAGCCCAGACTGAAGTATATGACGCCCTCCGCCCCCGCCCCAGTGATCCACGACTCCAGTTCCTGTAAGGCAGTAATGTGTGGTCAACAACTTGTGGACAACTGAGGTGTTTTACTGAGTGAAGCACCCGGCTTGACCTTGGCTTGCATAATAAATCAAATTACTTCCCATCTTCTAAGCCGATAAATTCCGGTTTTCTTCTGTATTTAAGATAAGCAGGAAGACGATGATAAGACGAAAGATAAGGGTAGAGGCTGCTAACTGACCTGAGGCAGAGGGTTGGCGGGGCGACAGTGCATGGCGCCCACCTCCACCTGTGAGGGCAGGAGGGGCACCGACTTGCTGATGGTGAAGTGAGAGTTGAGCAGCGCCAGACTCATGTTCCTCTCCAGGTCCAGCAGCGGCGGCAGCTCTGGGAACTGTGCCGAGATCTGAGGAAATATGGAAATGATTTGCTGACCAAACAATAACTTTAACATTACGAGAGGAGTTTACGTGATAATAACTGACATTATTACTCAGAGTACACGTGAAACACTAGGCTATACTTGTCTATTCATTTCAAAAGTATTTGGTTACGTTGGTTCTTCTGTCAGAAATGTTAACTTGCCTCCCGCATTCTTCGTTATCATTATTCACCACAAGATGACAGGCAGACCATCTAAGTCTCCCTCACTAAGAGACAGGTGAAACAGGAAAAGTCTTTCCCATTGTTCACTTACAAACGTTAACATTAACCTCACCTCTTTCTGTATCAGAGGCACTATGGCCCAGTGCCGCCAGTACACAGACATTACTATAGAACTGAGTGTGTTGAGAAAACGATGCCAGGCTGACATGGGTGACGGGAAGTCGAACATGAAGCTGGGAGTGTACGCAGGGTTGAGGACGTTTCCCAGGACGTCGCTCTTAGCTATACCTGACGTAGACACCAGGATGAAGGGAAGCTCATGCACGAACGGATAAGCTGCCTGTAGGAGACGGATACTGATGACACACTGACCTTAAGGGAATTATCAAACAAACCTACAGAGAAAGACACAAGGAAGGATTACAAATATTAAGTTATGTCAGTGTTCTTAAATGTATCACTACTACTTGACAACACAGTGACTTAAGAAAGTTTACAAAGGTGTGATCATACTTGTAGTTTACTATATAACGTGTTGTTTTAAGAAGTTATTTCCACGTGTTTACTTTACAGGAAACTATCACCAGCCACGTAAACAATCAACTAAATTTGACTCCATCGGATCACAACTTTTGACGACCACGAATCCGCGTCTCGTGATCTGAGTCACTCTGATCACTGTGAAGTTTAAATTAGTAAAACCTCAATGTGATTGTAAGGAAACAGAAAGATCTAAGTGGTGAGAGAAACTACTGTAAGCGTTATAGAAGGACATACTGGGCTTAAGAGGAGACATCAGGCTGGCTAAGTCTGTGGAGAGTGAACAACGGGTCAAACTTTACTCCTCATACTACAACGTAAAGTAAATATCACTAAACCTTACGAACACTGACTCCTGCAACACATTAAGACTGTATTCTTAACGTTTAGTAAATATATTCACTATAACAACTTGTTAGTCTGCAATATTCCCGAGTTTAAACAGTCAAGAAAAACACACCATCCGGTATGAGTTGGCACCTAACTCGAGTGTTGTCCAGTTCAACTGACGGTTAACACGGATATAATCACCTCGTTGAACAAAGCATCGACCATAACGACGTCAAACTCTTTCCTCCGCTCATACAGCTCCTTCACCTCCGGCACCTGGTACATGTCCCTGGCCATGGGCGGCAGAGTTCTCACGAGGGCGTTGGTGCTTCCTCCCGAAGACTTTCTCATGTCAAACATGTTGAATTTTTCATGCTGACGGTGCGGGAGGCCGTGGGCGACCTCGTGGATGTTGGGATGTGTGGACGACTTGGGTTGGTTGATCAACATCACTACCTAGAGAAATGAAGATGGATGGACGAAATGGTGAGGTTAGGAGGAAGAGGCTAAAGGTATAGTTAGCTGTCATGTCTCACCACCTCACATATTCGCGGGAAAGTTAAATGTATGACGATACAGACTGGCGTCTCTCCTGGGGCTCTTCTCTGCAATCGTAGGCTCTCGTGGGAGAAGGCGTCACCTACCAGCCAATCAACGTCGTAAAAATTAAATGTGACGTCACAAACCCGCGAAAACAATGACGTGGGCCTAAAACTGTTGACAAGAAGGTTGTAATACGTGACAGAATGGTCCCAGGACCAGGAGCACCTTAGATGATCTTGGGATCACTTAGGAGCACTGAAACATGCCAGAATTGACTCCGAATCACTACCATCAGATACAACCAGATGAACACCACGTAGGGTCACCTAAGACCACCAAAGACCTTACTTTGTGTCCACGGTCAGCCACCAAAGACCTTACCTTGTGCCCACGGTCAGCCACCAAAGACCTTACCTTGTGTCCACGGTCAGCCACCTAAGACCTTACCTTGTGTCCACGGTCAGCCACCAAAGACCTTACCTTGTGTCCACGGTCAGCCACCAAAGACCTTACCTTGTGTCCACGGTCAGCCACCAAAGACCTTACCTTGTGTCCACGGTCACACCAAAGTGTCCACGGTCAGCCACCAAAGACCCTACCTTGTGTCCACGGTCAGCCACCTAAGACCCTACCTTGTGTCCACGGTCAGCCACCAAAGACCTTACCTTGTGTCCACGGTCAGCCACCAAAGACCTTACCTTGTGTCCACGGTCAGCCACCTAAGACCCTACCTTGTGTCCACGGTCAGCCACCTAAGACCTTACCTTGTGTCCACGGTCAGCCACCTAAGACCTTACCTTGTGTCCACGGTCAGCCACCTAAGACCTTACCTTGTGTCCACGGTCAGCCACCTAAGACCTTACCTTGTGTCCACGGTCAGTCACCAAAGACCTTACCTTGTGTCCACGGTCATCCACCAAAGACCTTACCTTGTGTCCACGGTCAGCCACCTAAGACCTTACCTTGTCCACGGTCAGCCACCAAAGACTTACCTTGTGTCACGGTCCTTACCTTGTGGTTAGCCACCAGACCTTACCTTGTGTCCACGGTCAGCCACCAAAGACCTTACCTTGTGTCCACGGTCAGCCACCTAAGACCTTACCTTGTGTCCACGGTCAGCCACCAAAGACCTTACCTTGTGTCCACGGTCAGCCACCTAAGACCCTACCTTGTGTCCACGGTCAGCCACCAAAGACCTTACCTTGTGTCCACGGTCAGCCACCTAAGACCCTACATTGTGTCCACGGTCAGCCACCAAAGACCTTACCTTGTGTCCACGGTCAGCCAGAGCCTCAGCGATGGTCATGAAGACAATCCTGTGGCTCCTGGTGGAGACGGGGAGGAGAATGAGGATCTTGTAGGACCTCTCAGGGGGAGACAACACTCCTAGGGCGCCCCGTGTCAGTGCCGCCACCAACACACACAGCGTCGCTACCTTCATCTGCAACACGAAGAGCCATATTGATGACACACACTCAGTATTTCACCCATACTCTCTGTTCACAAGATACGGCATCAGCTGTATGGGTAGATTCAGTTTCTTATCTGACTAAGCCTTGCGAGTGAAGGTCTCTTGAATCATGATGTTATGTTCCCATGACCCTGTGAACCTATGCATGTTGTGTATAGTTACCCGGGGTTGGTTATGTCCAAGAAAGCGCATTAATTGTTTCCCTTTCTCGTATATGTCTATCAGTCTTGGCCATATAATAAGAAGTCTGTTATTTACCAACACCAAAAAAGCCTTACAGACAAGCTCTTGACCGCAGCCTCGACGAGAGATGGGGCAGGGGAGTGGAGGAGAAGGGAAGGTGAGGGCAGGGCAGGGCAGGGCAGGGCAGGGCAGGGGAAGGGAGGGAGTTAGGTAAGTTATCATTCTGAGATACAGGGCAATGCCACCGGCAGCTGGTGACCTGATAATCCGTGAACTTGTACATCCTAATTTGGGACCAGTTTCTGTTTTTTGCCTGTCGGATTTTTGTCTGAAATGTGTTGTATAGGTCTATTAATTTATTTCAAAAGCTTACACTTCAGCCTCTTAACATTAAACCAATGAAAACTTTATTTACGACACAAATCCACGAGCATAACACAGACATAAACACTCCATTAAAATACTTGTTCTCTCCCTACCGTCCCCGCTCCCGTATCCCAGGTTAAAGCTTTGAGTCATTTTCCCCAAGTTTACTGTAAGACAAGTCGTTGGCTATGATAACACTTGCATATTTAATGAACAGAATGCATAGCTAAAGTTTTTTTTTCGAATCTCCGGTGTGCTACTCGGAAATACGTTAGTTTACGAATGAATGTACGATATTTTTACATTGTTATCAGCAGGAGGCAGCAGAGAATTAAGGCCAGACCGTACAGGTGTAAGTCGGCGTCTCCCATAGTGTTGTGTTACAGGAGGAATGAGGCCCATCAACACCTAACTCCTCTCACTGTTGTTTCATCATTAGGTAAATTCTTTATGATATTTATAGTTCAGATGTTAAGGATGGTCGCAGGTTATATGATAGTTGTAAGACCTTATATTATAAGCGGTAATTAGTTCCTGTTGATGACTTGGTACGATTCACCTGTTGAACAATAAATTTGTTAACCGTTAACGCTTGAATATCGTCCTTAATGTATAGTAATAGAGATAACTATTATGTATAATATTGATAAGCAGCAGTGACACCACACTGTGAGGAACAACACCCCACTCACACTACTGACCGCAGTCATTCATGTTAGTTCACGTAAAATCAAATGCTTTATATAACTCTTCATAGCCCCTAAAACATGTAACTTATTATTGAGTCACCTACCGAGACGCCCGTTTTCTCTAATGTGTTTCAGAGTCTCTCATATCTCGTGTTGATCTTTGTAGGTTTTAAATTATGAAAGAATGCGTAGACGTTACATTAAGTTACATATACCTGTGTACAGCTGAAACATTCAAGATCCATTTTGAGTGATGTAGAAAGCTTCAACTTTATTTACTTTTAGTAAAATTGTCAAGCAAGTCCGCGTGTTGGAGTTTGCAGTAGAGACGGAAACCGTATTTCTGTTCTGTGAAGTCAGATTGGTTTAATTCACAATCATCAGAGAATCTGAAGACTGTATTTAAATTAGTGTCAGTTTTGTATTTTAGAAAGTCATCAAGAAAGAAATATGTCAACTCTTTATCGCCCTAAATCTAACGGCAAGAAGTGACTAACCCTCTGTTGAGTTTAATCCTTTCACTGTCTCCTCCTTACCTGTTGGGGAGGGAATCCCTGTTTCAGGTATGCAGTCTTTTTCTCCTTCACACACACACAATGACTCATATAAAGGGTATGCACTTAGGTACATATGAAAACTTCTGAAGGCTCACAATTATGTCCTGAAGTTTGCAGAATAGTTCATAAAAGTCTATCTTGGTTCACTTCACCGAGATGAGTGGACGGATACAAATCGTTGTATGTTCGGTATATATACAGTATATTTACACTTGTATTTACACAGGAGGCTGGCCACCCGATCTCGTACGAGGCGAGAGCAGTTTTAGAGATTCTAGTTCTGAGGTAGACTCAGAGATAGATCTGCTAGGACTGAAGTGGTCTCTCAAGCAAACTGCTCAGTATAGATCATGAATGTGTGGAGTCCAGCCTAAGACTACCTAGCTTTCCGGGGCGGGACCACCCCGGGGACAACTAACAATGACGTGACGAAGGATGGTGAATGATTTCAAGCTTCTAGAAGCTTCTCTCAGAAGGAAGGGCTGTTGTGCGTCAATCCCTCTGGCACGAACAACTGAATCATTTTCAACAGCGTTACTGAAATAGCTGTCTGGGAATGATCTCGTTAGAGCCGTGAAGCATCCTTAATTGACGTTGCAAATATCTAACTTAAGCTAATTAATAATTTAAATCAAATAATTTTTTGCTCTTTTATCCTCTAGTCATCAAGTAAGAGTCATTAATGATATAAGTAGTGAGGATTAAAATATGTCATCATCATAATGAGGCATCCCTGGTCAGCAACCCCGCCAGACCACCGTACATGACGATGACTGAACCAGCTGCGTTTAACCAGGCTACTTAATGCTTACTACATGCTTGCTATGAAGACATCTTTTGCACCCTCAAGCGCAATGCATAATGAAGACTTCTTGATCCATAGTGTATAATACTCTGGTCGCTATACAGGTTACAGACTAAAGTGCTTACACATAAACGTTCAGGTCTCTAGATCATTTACCTGTGTCTCTAGATCATTTACCTGTGTCTCTAGATCATTTACCTGTGTCTCTAGATCATTTACCTGTGTCTCTAGATCATTTACCTGTGTCTCTAGATCATTTACCTGTGTCTCTAGATCATTTACCTGTGTCTCTAGATCATTTACCTGTGTCTCTAGATCATTTACCTGTGTCTCTAGATCATTTACCTGTGTCTCTAGATCATTTACCTGTGTCTCTAGATCATTTACCTGTGTCTCTAGATCATTTACCTGTGTCTCTAGATCATTTACCTGTGTCTCTAGATCATTTACCTGTGTCTCTAGATCATTTACCTGTGTCTCTAGATCATTTACCTGTGTCTCTAGGATCATTTACCTGTGTCACTAGATCATTTTACCTGTGTCTTTAGATCATTTACCTGTGTCTTGTGATCATTTACCTGTGTCTCTAGATCATTTTACCTGTGTCTCTAGATCATTTACCTGTGCTCCTAGATCATTGCCTGTGTTCCCAGATCATTTTACCTGTGTTCCCAGATCATTTACCCAGGTTCTAGATCATCATTTACCTGTGTCTCTAGATCATTTACCTGTGTCTCTAGATCATTTACCTGTGTCTCTAGATCATTTACCTGTGTCTCTAGATCATTTACCTGTGTCTCTAGATCATTTACCTGTGTCTCTAGATCATTTACCTGTGTCTCTAGATCATTTACCTGTGTCTCTAGATCATTTACATGTGTCTCTAGATCATTTACCTGTGTCTCTAGATCATTTACCTGTGTCTCTAGATCATTTACCTGTGTCTCTAGATCATTTCTACCTGTGTCTCTAGGATCATTTACCTGTGTCTCTAGATCATTTACCTGTGTCTCTAGATCATTTTACCTGTGTCTCTAGATCATTTACCTGTGTCTCTAGATCATTTACCCGTGTCTCTAGATCATTTACCTGTGTCTCTAGATCATTTACCTGTGTCTCTAGATCATTTACCTGTGTCTCTAGATCATTTTACCATTCGTGTCTCTAGATCATTTACCTGTGTCTCTAGATCATTTACCTGTGTCTCTAGATCATTTACCTGTGTCTCTAGATCATTTACCTGTGTCTCTAGATCATTTACCTGTGTCTCTAGATCATTTACCTGTGTCTCTAGATCATTTACCTGTGTCTCTAGATCATTTACCTGTGTCTCTAGATCATTTACCTGTGTCTCTAGATCATTTACCTGTGTCTCTAGATCATTTACCTGTGTCTCTAGATCATTTACCTGTGTCTCTAGATCATTTACCTGTGTCTCTAGATCATTTACCTGTGTCTCTAGATCATTTACCTGTGTCACTAGATCATTTACCTGTGTCTCTAGATCATTTACCTGTGTCTCTAGATCATTTACCTGTGTCTCTAGATCATTTACCTGTGTCTCTAGATCATTTACCTGTGTCTCTAGATCATTTACCTGTGTCTCTAGATCATTTACCTGTGTCTCTAGATCATTTACCTATCTCTCAGGTAGTCGTCTCACTGAGGGTCTGACGCAGTGTTGCCAGGGCCGCCGGTGGTGGTGGCTGGGTGTATGAGGACCGTACTTGAGTGGGTGTTTATGTTGGTATTACTGACTTAACCGACTAATCTTGTCTGCATTCTTGTTTACATCTTCTTCATCGTGTTTACAGTGGGTGTGTGATGTAGAAAATAATAAGAAATTAACGAAGGGATATTGTGTGGCGAGAGAAAGTTACATCGTACAGTTGGTGAGAATGATATATGACGTCATCAGCTGGAGAATAATTGATATATGACGTCATCAGTTGGAGAATAATTGATATATGACGTCATCAGTTGAATATTGATCTATGACGTCACCACTCGTAAATAATACAAATATCACTAAACAATAATACCTAACATACGAAACTCTACAAAATAAACAACAAATCATCGATATTTAAACGAATTCGGTCACAAAAAACAGGAATAAATTACGAAAATATGTGAATTAAGCAGAAAGGCTCTATATGACAAGGACCGATGTATGGTTCAGACCCGCGGACACTTTCAGCAGACACCAGAGAGAGGTTGGAGGCCTTTGACATGTGGTGTTATAGGTGAATGTTAAGAATACCTTACACTGACAGGAAAATATATGAAGAAGTCAAAGGTTAGATACAGACAGTCTTCTGGGTGCAGCCAACTCCATCCTCTTAAGGCGACAGACACACGAGGCCTCACAGAATGGAGCCAAGTATGTCAAACTAGTGCCGTCAGGGTCGTCAAAACCATCTACTGCCGATTAGAGTGGATTACAGAGCTCCTGAAGGATCCACTCGTGAAGGTGAAGGTGGTGCATCTCGTCCGTGATCCTCGAGCCGTTAGACAGTCTATGAAGGAGGCCAGGTGGCCACCCAGCAAGATGGCCATCTGTCCCGCCATCATGGAGGTGAGGCGAACATTGGCCCATTCTCTTAGGGGTGACAGCCACGAGTAGCTGCCTCCCCCCCACCACCACATCCCCTACCACCCCCACACCTCCCCTACCACCCCCCACACCTCCCCTACCACCACCACACCTCCCTTACCACCCCCACACCTCCCCCACCACCCCACACCTCCCCTACCACCCCCACACCCTCCCTACCACCCCTAAATTTCCAAATTTATGCCCAATATAATATCTGTTTTTCAAAAAGTTTCAAACAGACTCTCTCGTAATAATAACAACACTAAACTGTTAGCCCCAGAGACTAATCCTGAGCTTCAGACCCCGCTGTGTGAGGCCAGTGGCTAGAGGGTCCATTTTTTTTTTTTTTTTTTTTTTTTTTTTTTTTTTTTTGTCATATGTGGGGTGGGGGTGGGGTCAAGAGAGGCGGCCTCCTCAGAAGTCATGAGGTTGTACAAATAGGGTAAAATAAGATATAAGGCCCCCAGAAGTCAGAGTTGTAACAAATGTGGGGGTGGGGGGGGTGGGTCAAGAGAGTAAGGGCCTCTCAGAAGTCAGAGTTGCAACAAATGTGGGTGGAGCGGACCAGGTTAACCAGGTTCCCACCTTGGTCCACCTGGTCAGGAGACCGGTCATGCGACTTCATCACTTAGTAACATTCAAAAGAACTATGGTTATTCTACGGTTAGTGATAGGTACCGGCGTATTTTGGACCCTTGTCTGTCAATTATTAGGCCGTGGTGGGCCTTAGGCCGAACACTGTTTAGACACTGGCGTACTGACGCCGCCTTTCCCTTTTCTATAGGCCATCAAGGACTTTATATGAACCGCGGCATCTGCACCGTGTCTTTATCTGGCCCTGGCATAACTGTAGGGGCTGGTCCTGGACCCTTCTGAGGGACAGGAGACGCGAACCTTATACTTTTCCTGAATCTCTTTTTATGGTAGAGCCACTTGCCTACCTCACAACCCCTAACATGTTGTTAGGAGCTTTGATGGTCACTGTCGGTCACAGCCTTGAACCAGGGCTGAGGTGATCCGGCGGCATCGTGGACGAGGCCTTATTCAGCCCCACAACCCGTAGGGGCTGTCCTTGACCCTTCTGGAGGACAGAGACGCACTTTATATACTTTTCTGGAATCTTTTTATGGTAGAGCCACTCAAGCCTACCTTCACAACTCCTAACAAGCGTTAGGAGCTGACAGACCTCCTTGTCTCCTGCACCCACTGGCCCCTCATACGAGCCAGTTGGGGTGTCACTGTTGACCCTTTGGCCTCTTCTCGGTCATCATTTTAGTGACGGGCTGGTGCTGGCGTCGTTCACTTTTAATATTCTGCATGATACATTTTAGACCAAACCAGATCACTGATCATAGAAACATTATGTCAAGTGTAAGATATCGTAGTAAGAGGTTACCACAGTGAACCTCTTGTAGTGAACCTTGTTATAATAATGAACATGTTATTATAGTGAACCTCTTGTAGTGAACCTTGTTATAGTAATGAACATGTTATTATATAGTGAACTTCTTGTAGTGAACCTTGTTATAGTAATGAACATATTATAGTGAACTCCTTGTAGTGAACCTTTGTTATAGTAATGAACATGTTGTAGTGAACCTTGTTATAGTAATGAACATGTTATTATAGTGAACTTGTTATAGTAATGCACATGTTGTAGTGAACCTTGTTATAGTAATGAACATGTTGTAGTGAACCTTTGTTATAGTAATGAACATGTTATTATAGTGAACCTCTTGTAGTGAACCTTTGTTATAGTAATGAACATGTTATTATAGTGAACCTCTTGTAGTGAACCTTTGTTATAGTAATGAACATGTTATTATAGTGAACCTCTTGTAGTGAACCATTGTTATAGTAATGAACATGTTATTATAGTGAACATGTCGTAGTGAACCTTTGTTATGGTAATGAACATGTTATTATAGTGAACATGTTATAGTGAAAATGTTATAGTGAACATGTTGATATAATGAACATTTTATTATAGTGAACATGTTAGAGTTAACATGTTATAGCGAACATGTTGTTATAGTGAATTAATTGTTATAATGAACATGTTATAGTGAACATGTCATAGTGAACATGTTATAGTGAAACTTATAGTGAACATGTTATAGTGAAAATGTTATGGTGAACATGTTATAGTGAACATGGTATAATGAACATATAATGTGAACATGTTGATATAATGAACATGTAATAGGGAACATTTTGTTATAGATAACATGTTATAATGAACGGTGGATGAACACAAAGAACTTAAAGGTTTGTGTGGTAAAGGCACGTCAAGTGAATAACATCATGTAGGTACACTAGCGAGTGTTTACCGTCGACGGGAGACAAGATGAAATAAATGACGAGTTCAAGCGGTGTTTTTAAACCGAATGGCATGCGTCTTACCTGGGATAGACGCACCCCATCAGAAAATGCTGTTTTAGCGCGATCTTTCTCCACTACGAGTAAGCCGTTTTGGCATCTAACGTAATGAAATATCGTGTAGCTCCAAGTCATCTGAAATACCCTGAATGTGTGGCAACGGGTACTGTTAGGTCGATAAGTTTACGGTAATCCACGCAGAAGCGAAACGACTCATCAGGTTTCTTCACTCGACAACAGGTGAAGAGCTAGGTTCAGTCACACCTTGTAACATTTTCTGGCATTCTTCTCTAATCACCTGCCGGGCGCGTTCAGGTAGTCGCCGTTGTCTTGTTTGTACAGGTGCACTTTCTCCAGTAGGGATAGTGTGTTCTATCACCGGTAAGACGCCTATATCACCTTCATGTTGTGAGAACAAGTGAGGGAAGGATCGTAGAACATCCCGAATGTGGAATCTTTCAGCAGGATTCAAGTGTGTCGGGTTCAAAGATCTTCATATGGTCAACACCTTCACAGGGGCTTCAGAGCGTGGGTTCGTGTTATCAAGGTAAGGAGCACAAGCTTCTACCGCCCAAATTTGAGGTGGGGGGGTAGGGAGGTGAGGGAGGTGGGGGGCAGGGGAGGTGGGGGTGGGGAGGCGAGGGAGGTGGGGGGGGGTGGTGAGGAGGTGGGAAGGGAGGGAGGCAAGACAGGTGGTGAATGAAGGGGATAAGTTAGTATAGAGGTAAGGGAGATGTAGGAAGGGGGAGAGTGAGGGAAAAATGTGATGAAGAAATTATATGATGAAAGAGAAAGTAAGAGTAGACAGAGTAATAAAGAAAAGATAATGAGATAAAACACAAGATAATAAGAAAAACAACCACGCACGCACACACACACACACCCACACACACACACACACCCACACACACACACACACACCCACACACACACATCATAAGTGCCACCTGATGCCTCGTGTTATGGCCCTCCTCAAAGCTGGCACTTCAAGGTGTAAGCGACGTGTGTGTGTAGAAGGCAAGTTCCCGTTTGTTTACCATGTCCAGGGATCCTTTATATAAGAGGGACCTTTCATCTAAACTCTTAAAGGACCCTTAATGTAAGCTTGTGGGTTTGTTTACCATGTCCAGGGATCCTTTATATAAGAGGGACCTTTCATCTAAACTCTTAAAGGACCCTTAATGTAAGCTTCTGGGTTTGTTTACCATGTCCAGGGATCCTTTATATAAGAGGGACCTTTCATCTAAACTCTTAAAGGACCCTTAATGTAAGCTTCTGGGTTTGTTTACCATGTCCAGGGATCCTTTATATAAGAGGGACCTTTCATCTAAACTCTTAAAGGACCCTTAATGTAAGCTTCTGGGTTTGTTTACCATGTCCAGGGATCCTTTATATAAGAGGGACCTTTCATCTAAACTCTTAAAGGACCCTTAATGTAAGCTGCTGGGTTTGTTTACACGTGAGAGACTCTGAATATAAACTGACATCGTCAAAACATGTACAAAATTAATTGTTTGCTTAGGAAGTTTACTCAGAGACAATACCTAAAGGTAAACACGAAGGTAGATATACAGTACAGGTTAATGAGGAAATTACAGGTACAATAATTTTTATACGGGGTTTACAGCCATACCTGTAACACACCTCCCATAGCATACCTGTATTGTCTTAATTAGTGATTGGATTTTTGATTGGAATAGTTTTTACTTTTATAATGTGATTTATTCTCATTGTAGTTTATTTTGTTATTATATTTCTTATTTATAAATAGAAATGTTGGTTAAAAATTTGTTTGTTTGTTTATGTTGATTATTCTCTCTCTCTCTCTCTTTGTCAACTATTCTTATCAATTATCTTTCCTTGTCTTATATACAATAACAACAGGACAAAAATAACAAAAATAACAAAAAATATACATAATTTGTTTATTAAAAAATACATTATTTAAAAAAAGAGGTTCGTTTATACGTCAACAAAATACAAATTCTCTTCTGCAGCTCCACAACAGCTTATAAAATGTCGCCTATATATATAGTATCCAACATTTTTATACAGGGAAGAGCTGGACATATATAAGGACAATATATAATACCTTAAAGTAGGCAAAAAAAAAAATGAAAAGTATTCTGATGAAAATGTAAATAAATCGTTCGAGTAAACACATCCGGATTATCCTCACGTGTTCTTTCAATCCGGATTCTCACTGTTGCTTTTCTGTCCGGGTTATAGTGTAGTGTTGTTCTCCAAAAATATACATATAGTTTATAATTATATACACCTATAATAATATATACATAGTAGCACCTCATAGATTGTCTTGACTACTCCGACACAACACGAGGCGGCGGGTAAGGGTTAAGAGGAGAGATGGAATTCTTATATCCCCTTTATGTAGAAGAGATATAAGGACTTCTCTGATTAGCTAACGTGTTCAGATGATAGCCAACATGGAGTTAAAATTACCACTAAGACTATAATTTTAACTATAATGAGTTAATTATATTTCTAACATGAATGTAATAGTTATTTAACATGACCAACTTGGGCTCACTCCGGCCAGGGTTTCAGCACTTTGGCACATGTACCCAACTTAGAATATTTTGTCTCTCTCTCTCTTTGTCTCTTCCCCACTTCCCTCTCTCTCTCCTTCTTTATCTTCTCTTTCTTTCTCTCCCTCACTCTCTCTCCCCCATTGTCTCGCTCCACAACATCCAAGTCACTTTAGGGAGATTCACAACAACGAAGAGTAGGCTGTTATAGGAGTGATGAGTATCCTAGTTACTAAAGGATGAGGTGAGGGCAGGAGCTCCCTATATCCTGCCATGATATAAATGTTTCAGGATAGAGAGGAGGAGTTTTAGATAGGATACTTGATATCCTAACTGAAGGAGGAGGAGGAGGAGGTTGATATCCTTCCTCAAGATAACTGGTAATGATAATAATGATGAATGGAACAAATTAACTTCATAGACAATCTTGAATGCTGATAACTTGTCTTAACATTGCGTTCTCAGACATATTTAGACATTGGAAGCTTATCTTTAGACATACATAAGACATTTCTAGCCTCCTTGTCTAATCCAGCACTGAGACATAGAGGCAATAATATCCAGATTCACTTTTAGATACTACACAGGCTAGACACAGACACTCAGACACCTTAAGAAAGACATTTAGACACTAGTAGGCTGTCTGATTGTATCTGAATTCCCAACTTGATCAATACTGCCGTTTGAACCAGAAATTGGCAGTTTGTTAGTGCTATCATGGAGACCCTGGTTCATAAACTGCTCGTCCATGGTGACCCGGACGATGGAGGCGCTATCGTCAGCATCGTAGGAGTCAAGAGGCGGTGCTGACGACGAGTGGTGTTTCTTCGACCGGAACTTGGCGCCGTGGTGTAAGCTTTTCCTGCTGCGGGTTCTCTCTTCAGCCACCTACAGGAGAGAAGGAAGAAGGAGAATGTGATAAATATGGGTTTAAAAGAGAGAGAGAGAGAGGTTGATATGTGGATGCAATCGTTATATATAGAGGTACTGAGAGAGAGAGAGAAACTTACCTTATATGTGAAGATGCCGGCAATGATGCAGAAGATGACGGTGATGGCGAGCTGAGCCAGAGTGAGACCAATGCCAGTCAAACGGAACAGTTGCTCGTAGTGCTGTGGGAGGAACACGTCATTATTACTCATCCCTTCACATTCTACACCAATCACGAGTCTAAAAGGGGCTATGACGTCATGGATCACCTCACATAACACCAATCATGAGTTTAAGGACTATGATGTCACTAATCACTACAAACTCTATACACCAATCATGAGTGTTAGAGGCTATGGCGTTCATGGATCACGACACATGACACCAATCACAAGACTAAAATGGACTATTACGTCATGGCACTCTACAGCCAATCACAAATCTACTGTAAGAGGGACTACAATAACACTATGGTAACCTTTTCTTTTATTAATTATTTCTTTAACCGTTTTCTCTTGTTGTTAATGATTCATCAAAAAGAGAATTCTTCATCAATTATATAAAGACGTCTTTAATACGTTAGTTCGCCCTAAAAATTTTACATGGAAAACGTATTTCAGTTGAGGGTAAACTTATGAAAATTTATATACAGTTGTGATTTGTCATATATGTGGAGCCTGCTATATCTATATATATATATATATACATATACACACACACATACATCCATCCATACATACATACATACACTCTTTCTCACTGGTAGCCTGACAGACGGAGGGAAGGACGGACTGACGGACGTAGGGAGAAAGGGAGAGGGGGGGGGAGGTAGAACTTTACCTTAGAATCTTCATCAAAAGAGATGTGGGCGAAGCTCTTTCGTCGGACCAACCAGGAGCTGATATAGAAGACGTTGATGCCCATCACACCGAAGGACTTCAGGAGCCAGAACCAGGTGAGCCATGGCTATGGAGGAGGAGTGGATGAGGGGTGGTGGAGAGGGAGGAGGGTGTGGAGGTGTTGAGGAGGAGGAGGTGTGGGAGGTGTTGAGAGGGAGGGAGGTAAGTGGTGGGAAGGAGGAGGAGAGGGGAGGGATGTGAGAGGAAGAAGTGAGTGAGGAGAGATGAGAAGGAAATATTGACTGGTTGAGACAAATATAGAGAGAGAGAGAGAGAGAGAGAGAGAGAGAGAATAACAAGAAAAACATAACATAAATACTATAAAAACAAAAGACAAACAAGAAACATAAAAAAATTACAAGTCAAAACAAAAAACAAAAGAACATCAACACACAGAAACACAGAAACGAAAAAACATTCAAAGGACAAACTCAAGTAAATTAATTTCTACCTTATCACTGATCTATTTACACACAGTAATATAACACAGACTAACCCAACCTCCAAGAACGTTTATTGCGCCACACACATTCGAACATTTTACGACTCGGGTTGAGAGAATGTCGCTGTATGTATGTGGGTCGTGTGGGATTATTTTTATATATAATTTGAGAAGAGATATTGGCTCAAGGTTGAAGGTAAGACTGTCTGTCTGTGTGTGTGTGTGTGTGTGTGTGTGTGTGTGTTTAATTAAGAGAGAGACTCCAACATATAAAAAAGTCTTTAAACACTCCTCCTCCCCAGAAACACACACACACACACACACACACACACACACACGTCCTAGAAACCAACTCACATCCACGACAGCGTAACTACCCACAAAAACTACGTCACTGAAGGTCTAGCCTACAAATCACCACCCAGACTACCCCAACTACGGAACTATACCCCATCCTCCCTCTCCCTGGGTACCAACTCATAAAAGAACTACAATATCTTAGTGTTTTCAAAGGATATAATATTGTGTGGTTAGGATGGCGCGATGCCTCGACAAGGAAGATTAATTTAATGTTCATATTTATTCTTTACTCTAAAAACATTAACGAGAATATATTTTAAAAGCTGTTTATTTTAGTTGAGTATTTATCCCAGGACCTTAGCTAACTAACCTTCGAAGGATATTATTTTTAGTTTATGATTTATTCTGATTAATAATTAGATATTTTCGTAAATTAATTCTATGTTAAACTGTAATATAGACTGGTATATAGACTGTAACTTAACTGTATCCAAATAAACACACAAATAACTATACTAGACTGTAACTTAACTGTATCTAAATAAACACATGAATAACTGTACTAGACTGTAATAGACTGCAAGTAGACTGTAAGTTACCTTTATAAGTGCGATTATGTAGATGATGTCAAAGAGTGGAGTGATGGCACCTTCACCCAAGCCAATGTACGTCCTTAAAGTAAACACTGTCGAAAAGTAAACAAATATCAGCTGATGTAATGTAAACAAATGACTACAAGTATATATAATATTTTTCTATACACAGACAGACACACAAACACACACGATCATCCATCCACACATACGATCATCCACACACACATACGATAGTCCACACACATACATACGATCATCCACACACACACAGGAAGAAGGTACTCACTCTGGTCGTAAACGTAGATCTTGTTCTGACACACAGCTGTTTTGAGTTCCTGGGACAGATAGAAGTAGTTACGAATTCTGTAGCCAGAAGCCCACTTCAATCCATGAATGTAGTCGAGAGAGAGGTTGATAGAGAGGTTATGAGAGGTTCGAGAGAGGTCAAGAAAGATTTAGAGAGGTCGAGAGAGACCAAAATAATCATGTAAGTCATTATGGCAGGTGTGAACAGGTAGGTAGGAGGTAGATACTCACGATATCAATAATGGCCAGGAAGATGCCACACCCAACGATAGCCTTGAGGGAACAGACCATTGTGGCGACCTGTACGCTGGCTTCCACACCTGCAACACACACCAATACAACACACCTGCAACAGAGAAAAAATAAAAATATTACTATGGATTGAAGTCATGTGTGTGTGGAGAATGTCATATGAGTTCCTACACACACACACACACACACACACTTCTGAAAACACACAAACGCCACGTCATGATTGAAATAAGTCAAGTGTGTAAATTTGGAAATATACCTGAAACATAATAAAAGAGAGAGAGAGAGAGAGAGAGAGAGGAGGGCAAGTTATCGGTCTCAAAGCAGCTCGATTCAGAGGATACGAACCTATTATTATTATTATTTTTTTTTTTCTCCCACTTCTTAGATCAAAGGAACAAGACACACGTACAGACAGACAGAAATAATTAACACCAGCAGGAAGGTCGTTATATTGTAGAAGGAATATAATGTGATCGTTAACGGTAAACTTTCAATGACAAACTTTATTATTTTTATTTTATTTTCGATTATAGAAACATATTTTTTTGGTAGAAATGATTTTTTTTTATAGTTTTTGTTCATTAATGCAATTTTCAACAGTTGTACAGTTATTTAAATTTTTAGATATTTTGAGAATAATTTAATACCAGACTAAGTAGAGAAGTTAGTAATCAGGACAATAGATGGAGCTGACAGACACCTCACTAGGAGGGGTGTGGGGACAAACTCTTGGCAATTATTCCTCCTGGCCTTGTGATACATTTTTCACCATCAAGGTTTCCTGTCTTAGTTATCTATTATCATATTCTCTTCTTTATTTTGTTAGTGTGATTAGTACCGAGAAGACTATATGGACGGTGTGTCGTTAGGAAGACATCATTTATAACCAGGCATTAAGTTTTCTTCATCTGATTCGAGGGGGAACTGAGGTAAGTGTTCTGTGTATGAGTATATTGTCGCAACTTGTGGATTACTGTTAAAGCCTTTGGTAATATCGTCTTGTCGTCAGGGTGAAAGCTGGCTGACGGTGTACACTACTAACAAAGGTGGTAGTTATATACTGTGGCTGACGCTTGACGTGAGGGCTGACGGACGATCGGGTGAAGGCCACACACACGCCAGGGAGGAGGAGAGGAAGGCGCTGACGGTGCAATAAACAAGGTGGAGTGGTGTCGTCAGGAACTACGGTCTTGCTTGTGACTTTGTGTTATGGTGTGTGTGTGTGTGTGCGTATATTTCAACACAGACGTCGAATTTTGCATGATATTCTGACCCACGTACCGGCCAAAACGCACCTTACACGCACTCAACGAACCCCTGACTCCACGCACCCAACACTGGCTCGTAACCTCCAACATAAAAAAGTTGATCATTTAACTGGTTGCCTTAGTGGAATAATTTTGTTTACTTGGCTGTAACACATAATTTTGTCTTTAGAAAAAAAGTAATATATTTTTTTAAACTTTAGTCATTATATACGATTGTCATTATAAGTTTATATAAAAACATTTATTTATTTATTTTTTTATTATATATGAACGGTATTTTTGTTAGGGGGGCGGCTGAGGCGTATATTGAAATCTGTAGAGTAAAGGCTTCTGAAGGGAGCGTCTATTTTATTTATTGGAAGGTAAATAATATTAATAACAATAATAATGGTAATTAAATTTTACCAAGACACCTCACTAAATAAGTCCAAATCTCTCTCTCTCTCTCGTGCCAAGCTTAAATATTTTAGGTCTGCGACTTGTAACACAGCTCAATGGTGTTATATTTCCAACTCTGGGTTTGTCAAGGTTACTAGTTCATGTTTGTGTTCTGCCACCACTACTACTACTACTTTACTATTATTACTAGGACTACTACCATCTTATTACGAGGACTACCACCATTATTACTCGGACTATCACCATGCTAGTATTATCCGGCCAGCAGTGGAAACATATCCGGCTCGGTATCCTTTGCCAGTTGCCTATACTGTATGCTTGTATCCTTCTCGTTGTGTTTGTTTCTTAAAAGTTATTATCTGTGAGGTTTAAATATTTAATAATAATAATAATAAAGAAATACTAATTACTTCGTTAGATACATTTTATTTTTACTGAATGCGACAAATAACCTCGTTTTCTATGATAGTTAATCGAGGAGTAACTAAAGTAAATAATATATCGAACCTGACATCAAATGAGTTTCTCTTTGATATTTCTACTGCGCCTTACTCACGTCCCTCCCCCCCCTCTCTCTCTCCTTTCTTCTATCGCCCTTCCTCCCTTCCTTCTTCCTCCCTCCCCCATTCTCCGTCTGTTGTCTCTCCCCTCCTCACCTCCTCTGTGCCCCACACAGAGAGTAGAGAGAGAGAGAGAGAGAGATGGCCCTTGAGGGGAACAGTGATGGTGAGAATATTGCTACGGTCATTATAACTACAATGCCTTCACCTGGGAGTGGCCATGATCTTGACTGAGGAGGGAGAGAGGGAGAAGGAGGAAGGAGTGAAGGAGGAGGAGAAATGGAGGAAGGACTCTCAAACCTCTACGAACCAGAAAAAAAACCAACCCGCAGTGCAGTCAGTGAGGCCTGGTCTTCCTGGGTGTAGTTAGGTGAGGCAGACAACCATGTATATTTCAATACATATATATATATATAACACATGTATATTCCCACACACATATGTAAACCTCTACCATGTATGTGTGTGTGTTGATGCTGTTAAGTTCGTTACTAAACCATAAAGACGATTTCTCCTTAAAAACACACACACACACACACACACACAAGGACGTACATAACATACATTCACTCAACAGTGCATCTTTCATCGCATCAAAAACCTAACCTAACCACGCTATTATCTACGCCACTAGCAAAAAACTTAATTGCGCAGAACTACTAGCATAAGAGCCACTTGTTTTAAAAATCCATAAACGAGGTGAAAATTGCTAGTTGAAAGTAGCGCACAGCATCCTTACCTGGGAAGTGCTATTAGGAGTGCTAAATAGTTGTAGGAGGGAAGAGCTTAGTTTTATTAAGTAAGGGCCTTAAAATGTATAATGCTATTAGTTCTAGGGATTTAGATCATCGTAAGGTAAAGTACTATGAGTTTTGCTAGTTAAAGTTCTTATAAGGTAAATTGCTATTAAATGTCCTAGTTTGAAGTCCTTTTAGAGATAAATTACAATATTTCTTCACCTGAAATTGGAAATAATAATAGTGAAAATTTAAATAACAGTTTAAGTAAAATATTAAAAAAAATTACGAAAAACTAAGAAATTAAACAAAGAACAAAAATTAAATAAAAATTGATAATAAAAAAATAGAAAATTAATTAAAACTCATAATTAAACATAAAATAACAATGAAAATGTTAAAAAAATCACAACAAAATCATTAAATTTAATTACCTAAACAATTAAAAATAATTAAATGTTAATTAATCAAAAACTATTACATAAATAACTAGTAATTACTCAATAGCAAATAAATAACCAATTACTAGCAAGATCTGAGGTGGTAATTACACTAGGAAGATGATTTTACTAATGACCTAAATAGTGGTATAGTCATTAGTGGTATCTTTAATTAGTCTATGCAATTAATAGGAGTCGTAACTAGCCACAAAATAGCAACTTTGCCACTTTTAGTATCCAATGGTTAGGAGTAATTGAACCACTTGACCAATCACAAACGAGTATTTAAAGAAGGTAACTCATTTAACTAACTATTGTATTTAAATCACACACAGGTAATCAATCACGTCATTAATAATAGGTGAAGTCATGTGGGTTATTGCACTAAAGTGTTTTGAGGTGATTGACGCCTTAACGAGTCAATTACATCCACTAACGTGCGTCAATCACCAGGATAAACCAAGTCAGAGTTTAGTTATGGTTGTAATCAATAACTACATAAATCACCATAGTTAGGTTTCATATATCACCAAATCAAGATAAGTTAGTGATTTAATGAATAATTGAGAAAAAATTACCATCAATAACAGATAAATCACACGAATAAATCAACGTGATGGTGTAGTAATCATTGCTTAGTCAATAACCACGATGGAAATAACACTCGGATCGTTTAAATAACACTGGGGGGCGTTTAAATCATAAGAGCATTTAAATCACATAAGAGCATTTAAATCACTGTCCTAAGCACCCGTTGTCAATAACCAATCACAGAAAAAAAAATCACTACACGTTGAATGTATAAACCACAAGAATGAAATAACATACAAAATCACTTAAATCACTGAATCACCATAATAAATTAAATCACACGTTCTTTAAAAAACCCACATTATTCTAGTATTAATAATTAAAAACCCCCAAACTTACCGATTAAATTAACACCGGTAATCAAAGTGTAGGATTAAGTTGATACAAATCCTCTTATAAGTAGTGGGTGGTTGGGTTAAGTCCTAGATACGTTCCTCTAAGACTGTAGGGAACAAGACACTGTGTAGTTATCAGTCCAGTAGCTTTAACTCGAGTGACTCGCTCTAAGCCAACACCCATTACATACCCTTCCTCTGGGCGGCGGCGGAACCGAGAGGGATCCAACTATACTCATACGACGTCAATTTCAGGGATATGTTGACATCCCCGAAGCCCGTCCTGTATGAGAGTAAGGGGGGGGGGTGTTAGAGGGTAAGAAAGTACTAATACTATCCCAAGAAAATACGTAAATAGTACTTGAAGGTAACACTATGATATAATAATCAAAATCAGATTTTCAAGAATCTATTTTCATTATATGTTAGGATTAATATTGTTATAAGTGGGGATTTTCGTCCT